TCAGATTCTGTCCAAGCCACATGAACCATTTTTTGGACTCAGCTGTCTCGCTCCTTTTCCTCGACGCTTTTATGTCTTTACAAAGTCTTCCCTCTGTACTTAAGGAGCACTCCCCAACAGTCTAGCCATCACCCTCAGGCCCACTATAAACTATACAGTGGGCCCAATTCAAAAGGCCCTCCTAAGCAGGAGGCTCCTTTCATTTGAAAACTGCTGCAGGCCAAGTGTAAATTCAAGATAGCGTCCCTTTGTTTGTATACTTCCACTGTCTTCCAGCCTAAAACCCAGCCAGTCCTAACATTGACTGACTGCCCAGGTATGTTATGTAAGATCCCATGCTGGGCAGGAATACTGAGATAAGTAAGACACAATCACACATCACTGGAAGCACCTCCAACGGAGAGAGCAACAGATGATTTCAGAACGACGTATGTGCCTGTCTACAGAGACCCACTCTCAGGAGGGGAAACCTAATTCAGTTCCCAAGAACCTACCAGGTACCACCTTCAAAGGAAGAACTGTTTTCACTTCACAGACCAACTTTCAAGGCCAAAGTCAGACAGCAAGGACAGGACCAGGACCGGACCCCAGGTTTGGCTGACATCACTATCCCCCTATCGCAAGGAGGCAGAGGCCCCTTGAAGATGTCCTTTTGCATGAGCTCCAAAATATCTACTAAACATAGGTCATTATGGCTGAAAATGCATTTTTCCCCTTATCCTTGCAGCTGCTCTGTAAGTTTGGGCTGTAGTCTGATGTTCAGCAACACCAGTCCTAGCTAACTGCTGGCCAACAGATCGCAGGGTTGTGACCCTTGGAATTGGAAGGCATTCTACACACAGTGTCTCTTCCAGGTACTTTTTCTTGTCAACCATTAAACCACAGCAACAGTCCAGGCGACAAAGCACTCAGTTACTTCGCACAGTCATTCCTTCCCCCTCCTGCTTCGCCTGATGCAGAAGAATTTGTAGTCAAACTTGAGCATTACTAGAATATGCAACAGAAAGAATTAGGAAACTCAGCAATCCAAAAGCTGCCAAATGAGGGTTTTCTGCATTTTTGGGGGGTAATAGAAAGCAGTTCCGAGAAAAGTGAAGTCACAGCCTCTGCAGTTTATTTTCAGTTCTTATAAAAGAGCCAGTGTCGAAGGGCAAGTGGCTCTGCCTCAGCACACAGACTCCACTGTCTGGCAGGGAGCATGTGCTGATAAACCAGCTTGGATTTGGCACCAGAAACCCAAAACCTCGGACATGTTTTCATTTGGTGATGTCAAGGAGGAAATACAAGCCGAAACAGTGAGTTACTAACACTCAGAGAAACCACACAGCTCAGCTAACATGCTGCGGTGACACCCTTCCAGTACCGAGCCACCAGCAGTGTTGAAGAGATTGTCAGAAAAAACACAGTGGCCTCCTTTTCCTCCTTTTTCCTCCTCTCCCACATTCCTGAGATGTGTTATCGCTCGGCCACCATGTCAGCCCAACCAGCATTTTTCAATGGACATTATTTACCAGAAGTTGGGTGAGGACGAATGGGGTAGGATATGGTACAGGTGGTTTTTGGCAGCTTGGGTCTGCTTTCTGGCATACGAACAGGTTTCACCACAGTAGGGCAGACTTCAGGTTAAGATCTCGGGAGTCTACCACATATCCACCTCAGGGGCTACTACCGGGTGCCCCATAATAATTTTGTGAATTAGGTTTGTCTTTTTTTGAGACAGAATCTGGCTTCATCATCCAGCCTGGGGTACAGTGGCACAATCTCAACTCACCAAAACCTCCGCCTCCTGGGTTCAAGAAATTCTCATGCCTCAGCCTCCACAGTAGCTGGGATTACAGGTGCGTGCCACCATGCCTGGCAATTTTTTTTCTATTTTTTAGTAGAGACAGGGGTCTCACTATGCTGCCCAGCTGGTCTCAAACTCCTGGCCTCCAGTGATCAGCCCGCCTCGACCTCCCAAAGTGTTGGGATTACAGACATGAGCCACTGCACCCAGGCATAAAGTTTTAACCTAAGAATTCTGTAACAGAGATCTCATGGTCTGCACCAAAATTAAATTTCAATGTAATCAAAAGCAACTCATCAAGTGACTCAGCCAGGGAGAGTGCCTAAGGAGACAAGATGACCAAATGGAATGTGGTATCCCGGATGGGACCCTGGAACAGGAAAGGACATTAGGAATAACCCAAAGAAATCTGAATGAAGTACAGACTTGGGTTAATAAAAGCATCTCAATAATGGTTCATTAATTTTAACAAATGCACCATACTAATGTAAGAAGTTAATAATAGGGAAAGCTGGGTACAGGTACATGGGAACTCTTTGTACTATCTCTGCAATTTCACTCTCACTGTGTGTGTGTGTGTGTGTGTGTATAGACAAGCAAGAATATACTGATCCTCCCAACAATAATGATTTGTTGCCTACCAAGTGTCACATACCATGTAAAAGTGATCTACACGTGTCTTCATTTATTCCTCATACCAGGGCTATGAGCTGGACATAACCTGCATTTTACAGATAAAGAAACTGAAGAACAGAGAGGCTAGGTACCTTGCTCATAGTTACATGGCAAGGTTAGTGGCAGATAAAGGGCTCAAATTCAGGTTGACAGGACAGCTCAGCAATATTGCCTCAAAAATCCCAAACTGTGAACATAAAACAGTTCAAAACAAGCTTCATGTGGGCAACGAAAACAAGGCACACTTTCCAATCTACCCCGCTTTAAAAAGAAAAGAATTTAAAAGCACAGCACAGGCCAGGCACAGTGGCTCACACCTGTAATCCCAGCACTTTGGGAGGCCAAGGCAGTCGCATCATGAGGCCAAGAGATTGAGACCATCCTGGCCAACATGTTGAAACCCTGTCTCTACGAAAAATATATATTTTTTAAATTAGCTGGGCATGGTGGCTCACATCTGTAATCTCAGCTACTTGGGAGGTTGAGGCAGGAAAATTGCTTGAACCCAGGAGGTGGAGGTTGCAGTGAGTCAAGATCACACCACTGCACGCCAGCCTGGCAACACAGCGAGACTCCATCTCAAAAAAAAAAAAAAAAAGCACAGCACACCCAAGACAGATAACACTCAATGCTGGAGAGGATGTGGAACAGGAACTCCCCTTCATTGCTGGTTAAAATGTGAAAGCAGTCTGTGCCGGGTGCGGTGGCTCAAGCCTATAATCCCAGCACTTTGGGAGGCCGAGGTGGGCAGATCACGAAGTCAAGAGATTGAGACCAACTGGGCCAACATGGTGAAACCCTGTCTCTACTAAAAATACAAAAATTAGCTGGGTGTGGTGGCATGGACCTGTAGTCCCAGCTACTCAGAAGGCTAAGGCAGAATTGCTTGAACCCGGGAGGCGGAGGTTGCAGTGAGCTGAGATCAGGCCACTACACTCCAGCCTGGTGCCTGGTGACAGAGCAAGACTCTGTCTCCAAAAAAAAAATAATAATAATAATGTAAAAGCAGTCTGGCAGTTTCTACAAAGCTAACCATAGATTTACCATAGGGCCCAGCAATTGTACTCCTAGACATTTACTCCAATGAGCTGGAAACTTAATGCCCACACAAAATCTGGGCATGAATGTTTACAGCAGCTCTATTCATAGTTACCAAAGATTGGAATCAAGTAAAATGTCCTTCAATTGGTGGATTAGATAAAACTATGATACATCCATACAATGCAACATTATTCAGTGACAAAAAGAAATGAGCTGGCTGGGTGTGGTGGCTTATGCCTATAATCCCAGCACTTTGGGAGGCCAAGGCAATAAGATAGCTTGAGCCCAGGAATTCGAGCTCAGGAGTTCCTGCCTGTAGTCCCAGCTACTCAGGAGGCTGAAGTGGGAAGACTGCTTGAGCTTGGGAAGTTGCGGCTGCAGTGAGCCATGATAGTGCCACTGTACTCCACCCTGGGTGACCGGGCAAGGCCCCATCTTAAAAAAAACAAAAACAAAACACCTCAAATAAATAATAAATAAATAAATAAGCTGGGTATGGTGGCACACAGCTGTAATCCCAGCTACTCAGGAAGGTGAGGCAGGAGAATCACTTGAACCCAGGAAGCAGAGGTTGCAGTGAGCAGATATTGTACCATTGTACTCCAGGCTGGGTGAAAGGGTGAGATTCCTTCTCAAAAAAATAAAAAAAGTCCCTAAGGAATACTTCATGTTTCTATATAATAATAAACATGGGCATTTATTTAAAAAAACAGAAAAAGAAAAAGAAAGCTCATAAGCTGCAGAAAGACCTGGAGGAGTTCAGACACAGTGGCTCACATCTGTAATCCCACCACTTTGGGAGGCTGAAGTGGGAGAATTTCTTGAGCCCTGGACTTTGAGACCAGCCTGGGCAACATGGCAAAATCCTGTCTCTACAAAAAATACAAAAATTAACCAGGCATGGTGATGCACACCTGTAGTCTTAGCTACACAGGAGACTGAGATGGAAGGATCACCTGAGCCTGAGAAGTTGAGGCTGCAGTCAGATGCGACTGTGCCCTTGCACTCCAGCCTGGGTAAGAGTGAGACTGTCTTAAAAAAAAAAAAAAGAAAATGGAGGAATCTGACAAGCACAACAAATGAAAGAAGCCAGTTTGAAAAAAATTACATACTGTATGATCCAACTATATGATATTCTGGAAAAGGCAAAGCTAAAAAACAAAGACGAGTGATAATCAGGGTTGGAGGGAGGGGTGGACAAGGGGAACCCAGAGGATTTTTAGGGCAGTGAAACTACTCTGGATGATACTTAATGTAGATACATGTTATTATGCATTTGGAAAAATCCACAGAATCTATAAGAGGAAGAATGAAGCCTAATGTAAACTAGACTTTAGTTAATAAAAATGTAACGTTGGTTTATTAAATGTATCATCCAAATAAAAGATGTTCACAGTTGGAAAAACTGGGAGAATGGGGTGTGAGTGTAAGTATATGGGAACACTAGTTTCTGCTCCATTTTTCTGAAAACCTGAAGATCTGTTTTTTTTTTTAAAGTCTATTTAAAAAACAACCCATACAGCATATTAAACAATTTATTAGAACTACAATATCAATAATCCTGGTGAAAGTCTACAACCATGTCAGAACATAACCTAACTCCCTTGATATGTACAATCTCAAAAACTTAGGCATGGGTACTAAGCAGACAGCAAAAAGCCAACGTTCAAATCACAGCAAAGTCATTCCATACAAAAAGACAAAAGAACTCTAAACCAGGAGGCTTGCCGTGTCTCTCCCAAAGTTATGAAGTGGAAGTTTAGCTAAGGCCTGAAAGACATCCTTAATCTTTTTTTTTTTTTTGAGACGGAGTTTCGCTCTTGTTACCCAGGTTGGAGTGCAATGGCGCGATTTTGGCTCACTGCAACCTCCGCCTCCTGGGTTCAGGCAATTCTCCTGCCTCAGCCTCCCGAGTAGCTGGGATTACAGGCACGCGCCACCATGCCCAGCTAATTTTTTATATTTTTAGTAGAGACAGGGTTTCACCATGTTGACCAGAATGGTCTCGATCTCTTGACCTCGTGATCCACCCGCCTGGGCCTCCCAAAGTTAATCTTGATGTTTTTCTTTTCAACAAGAAATTCTGAAAACGTCTCAACATTTCTGAGTGATGAAAGTAGGTATTACCTTCTCTAGCCGAGGGAAATGGATAGAGTGGTATCTAAATGTTTGAGTGGTGTCCAAAGCAGAAAGGGAGCTGTTGTCTTTCTGGGGCCACCGTGCCTGCTGTTAGGAAATGCCATTTGACTTGCAAACTGGTTATGGTAGTTGCTGATGAAGAAGATGAGGAGCCATGTCATTCCTTTTTTACACATTCTGTCTTCCTGCCAATAGCCACACTTCAATCACCACAGGCAATGACTGAGATAAATTTTGCATCATAAAACAGGGACATAGCAGTAATGGAAAAAGCATCGTCAGGCATAAAATTTGGAAAATGCAACATGAGACCTCTGTGTCCGAGAGAAAAAGAGAGAGAATTAACACACACACACATACACCAGGAAAACAAAAAGCATTTGCTTTTTATCAGCAAACACAGGCAAAGCAAGGGGCAGCAGAGGCTGTCACTGAAGTATCCCAGGATTTAAACATTCCTACATCCGGACTCCTTGGTCAGCCACAGCAAGGCTCTCTGAGAAACTTTTGAAAAATACGCATTGAAAAATGTCCATGAAATCCACATCATTATGAGTTTTAAATCGTTCCAGGATTTTGGTTGTTTTTAACGACAGTTCCAACATCATCTAAGGAATATTCCTGTGTAGATCTTCCACTTCCAGTTCCCACATACTTTCATGGATGGGATTATCAGAAAGGTCTGTCATCTTCACAGCCTGCAGGCATGGCTCGGGGCTGCAGGCCTGCACCACTCCCATCACCATCACATACTTTCCTAGACAAAGGAAGAAAAGCCCATAGTAATATTCTCTTTTCTTTTTCTTTTTCTTTTGAGATAGTCTCACTCCGTTGCCCCAGCTGGAATGCAGTCACGTGATCTCCGCTCCTCACAACCTCTGCCACCTGGGTTTAAGCGACTGTTGTGCCTCAGCCTCCTGCATAGCTGGGATTACAGGTGCCGCCACCACGCTGGCTAATTTTTGTATTCTTAGTTGAGACAAGGTTTCACCATGTTGGCCAGGCTGGTCCTGGAACTCCTGTCCTCAGGCGATCCACCCACCTAGGTCTCCTAAAGTGCTAGGATTACAGGCATGAGCCACCGTGCCCAACCATCTTCTTTGGTCTCTGATTTTACTAGGCAAAACAAAACTGTCACAATAAACCATAATCATGCCCAAGGAATGGAGACGCTTCCGTCAGAGTGTAAGTTACAATCAGACAGGCTGCTCTGAGGCAGGGGCAGAAAACCTCAGCTTTCCTCTAATCCCATTCCTTCCTCAATGCTACAGAGTATGTGACTGGTCTCTGTGCACAGGATGCATCCTCCTTGTGCAGACACCCTCTGACAGTTACCAAGCAAATCCAATTTTCCCTCCACATTGCCAAAAAGGCTGGGCAGGCAGCCCCTGCCCCACTGTTTCAACTGCTGGGACCTATCCCTGCCACCTCAGCACATACAAGCAAATCCACACAAGGGCAGGCTGCCACTGGATGATCTAGTGACATATTAACTGTGACTCGCTTCCCATTCCCTTGGGAAAGCGATTCTCCTTCAAAGCAAAACTTGGTCAGTCTCAACCACACAAAATCCAATTGCGTAAAAGAAAACTCCAAACACTGCAGGAAGGGCAAGCCTGGTGTCAGCCCCGCTGCCTGCCCCTATGAGGCTGCTTTCATTGCACTGCAGGTGGGGCCGGGGGCTCTGATGGAAGGAAGCCAGGCAAACTGACCCCTGATCCCACTGTTCAACTCCAGGTAGGATGTGCTCAGGTTTCTCAGAACACCTCCCACATTCCACTTGGGTCCCTCCGTGAAAGGCTAGTTCTGAAAATACACTTGCTGTCCCCTCTGACTGGGCCTAAAGTGCAAACCCACAGAAGTAGAACTGAAGGCACAGGAAGAGAAGAACAAGCCCAAGGACATTCCAACCAGGAGAGGGGAACAGGAGCTCTACTAGGAAAGCACACACAGCCAGCCGGATGAGCTCAAAGGCATGCGATGAGACAAACTGGCCTTATAAGTTCTACCCACGCCCTCTCCTAGCTCTCCACTCTGTCCCTCCCTCTCCTTCCCGCATCCCCACCTGCTAGTTGCCATGACCACTCCAATGGTTCCCAGCCCATGTTCTGCCAGCTTCCTCCACTTCAAAACAATCCCCACCCCACTGCTGCAGTCAACATTCTGGAATCCACCTCCAGAACTCAGTTGACCACAGCACGATCTAGGCAAGCATGGTTTCTCTGCTTCTCCTGCAGACAAAGAGCAGCTTGAGAACAGGGAGAGCTTCTCATTCAACTCAGCATTTTCAGCACCTTAGGTTTATGGAAAAAAACTCCTGGATGTTCCAGAGGAAGAGGCAGTGGAGGAACAGCACTAGAACAGCACTGCAGTGAGCAGAGTTCAAGGCCAGCTTGAAGCAGGCAGGTCCTTCCAGACAGCCACTGAGGCTCATAAGGATAGAGCCCTCCTTCCTTCCACCGCTGTCCCAAGCTCCCCAAATGCATGGGGCTCTATCCCCTCCAAGCCTTTCCATGTCCTTTCCAACAACACAGGCTGTTCCATGGAGCTGCAAAATCTCCTGCCACTGCACCCAGACAGAGGGTGCCCAACTGTCCCAGTTTTAACACTGAAAGTCCCATGTCCGAGGACCCTCTCAGTCCCAGGCAACCCCGGAAGGTTGGTCCTTACAGGTAACTCCAGTGTATCCTTCAGGACTGCCTCTTCCAGGAAGCCTTCCTGAGCCCTCAAGCCTGGATCAGCTGTCCCTCTTCTGCACCACCTGGCTCTTGACTGTAATGTTACTTTGTATTTTAGTGGCCTGCTTATCTCCCTGCCTCCCTGCCTGAAAGCAGTGACTCACTTTTGTCAAGCTGGACTTGGTATTACTTAACAAGAGGAAATGGCATGGCCCCTGCCAGCTGGCATTCAGGCCAGTGGGTATGTCAGACAAGTTCACCAATGCCCATTGGTCCAAACAATGAAGTATATTCCAGATGCCAGGCTTATACCAGGGCTGATACCAGACAGGAGACTGTCCCAGCCTGCCTGCAAGGGGCTTTGCCTGCAAGCTGACACACCAAGCAGCATAGGTTATGTGCTGGGCAAAGGCTAAGAGAAAGGGTTGGCAAACATTTTCTGTAAAGGGCCAGACAGTAAATATTTTGAGCTTTTCCCACCATAGGGTCTTTGTCCCAGATACTCAACTCTAGCTGTGGTGGGACACTGGCTGAGGCATTCTGTAAATTACCAATGTATTCCAATAAAACTTTACTTACGGTGGGCACCGTGGCTCACACCTGTAATCCCAGCACTTTGGGAGGCCGAGGCAGGTAAATCACCTGAGGTGGGAGTTCAAGATCAGCCTGATCAACATGGAGAAACCCCGTCTCTACTAAAAATACAAAAAAGTCAGCCAGGCGTGGTGGCGTATGCCTGTAATCCCAGCTACTTGGGAGGCTGAGGCAGGAGAACTGCTTGAAACCAGGAGGCGGAGGGTGCAGTGAGCCAAGATCATGCCATTGCATTCCAACCTGGGCAAAAAGAGTGAAACTCCATCTCAAAAAAAACTTTACTTATGGACACTGGTGTTTGAATTTCATATACTTTTCACATGTCATGATTTTACTTTCAACCATTTAAAAATGTAAAAACTCACCAGGCGCAGTGGCTTATGCCTGTAATCCCAGCACTTTGGGAGGCGAAGGTGGGCGGATCACTTGAGATCAGGAGCTCAAGACCAACCAGTCTGGCCAACATGATGAAACCCTGTCTCCACTAGAACTACAAAAATTAGCCAGACGTGGTGGTGCACACCTGTAATCCCAGCTACTCAGGAGGATGAAGCACGAGAATCACTTGAATCTGGAAGGCAGAGGTTGCAGTGAGCTGTGAATGTGCCACTGCACTCCAGCCTGAGACACAGAGCGAGACCCTGTCTCAAAAATAAAAATAATAGGAATAAATAAAAGTTTAAAAAGCATTTTTAGTTCACAGGACATGTGAAAAGAGGAGGCCTGTCGTTTGCTGACCCTGTACTAGACCAGCACTGGGGCTGAGGGCAGACAGAGGGAAGGCTGAAGGGCAAGGCGGTGGGGGGAGGGAACAGGAGCATGTTCTGTACCCTCACTATGAGCCAGACGCAGTGTTAAGGCAGTTGTTTACTTACTGAATGTACACAACAGGCAGGAATGATTAGCTCCTTTTTACAAGAGTACAAATCCAGAAGAGTTAACAAAAGTGCTCCAGGCAGCTCAGCTGGGAAGGGGTGGAGCCAGGAATTCACCTAAGCCTGAGTCCAAAGCAGCTCAGGCCAGACCACTGACCTAACTGCCTCTAGTTAAGACTCCAAGACTGAGCAGGAAGGTCCCTTAGGAATGAAGTGATCTTGGCCTGATCTCCCAGGGAAGGGAGCCGAGGGGAGGGAAGGGTCATGTATCCTCAGACCTCCTCAGCTTAGATCTCACATCCTCTAGAAGCCTCTGAGGGCCACTCAGCACCTTGTACATCCTCATGGGTCCCCCAGGGAATCAGCGATCCTCTGGGACAGATGCTCACTGCCTATCTCCCAGCAGGCTTTCTCTGGGTCTCCACTGCAGCCCAGCACTACACGTGGGGGGCTGATGTATAACACCTGCTCCATTGACATCTCAGTGAACAAGTGAGATGGATGTCCACTGCCTGTTACTCTAGACAATTGGTTCTTGGAGCACTTATGTGTCAGGCACTGGGCCAGATGCTGAGGATACAGTTGTCAGGACCACACAGCTCTGGCCTTCCAGAAGCTCAGCCTGGCCCAGTGGTTCTCAAAATATGGCCCCCAAACACCAGGCATGGTGGTGCAGGCCTGTAGTCCCAGCTACCCAAGGAGGCTGAGCAGGAGGATTGCTTGAGCTCAAAGCCAGCCTGAGCACAGTGAGTCCCCTATCTCAAATAAACAAAACATTTTATAAAGTCCAAAGTAGACCAGCAGCATCAGCCTCACCTGGGAGCTGGTTAGAAATGCAATTTCCAGCCCCACCTGGACCTTGTGACTCAGGAACCCTGAGGATGGAGCCCCAGCCATCCCAGCTTTAGCAAGCCCTCCAGGAGAGACACACAAGCTCAAGTTTGGGCATCAGTGGCTTAAAAGAAGAAGCAGGCAGGGCGTGGTTGCTCATGCCTATAATCCCAGCACTTTGGGAGGCGAAGGAGGGCAGATCACTTGAGGCTAGGAATTCGAGACTAGCTTGGCAAAACCCAGTCTCTGCTAAAAAAAAAAAAAAAATACAAAAATTAGCCAGGTGTGGTGGCATATGGCTGTAATCCCAGCTACTCAGGAGGCTGAGGCATGAGAATTACTTAAATCAGGGAGGTAGAGGCTGCAGTGAGACGAGGTCGTGCCACTGCACCCCCGCCTGGGTGACAGAGTGAGACTCAAAAAAAAAAGAAAGAGGCAAACATGTGTGAGCTCCAGCCCAGGACAGTTCAGTGAAGGAGCAGTACAGGAGGGTCTCTCGTTCCTAGGGGTTAGGGAGGACTGAGGAAGGTACATTTGAGTTGAGACGTTAAGGTTGAGCAGAAGTTCCCAGGAGACTATTTCACAAAACTTGATAGCAAACAAGGAAATCAACTGGGGGGGAGGGGGCTTGTGACAAATGCAGGTGCCGGGGTCCCTCCCCAGAAGATTCCCACTGGGAGGTGGAAGAATCCCGGGAATCTGTATTTGCTAAAGGGACTGCAGGTGATGCTTAGCATCAGATCAACTTGACCGAGGAGAGACTGGAGCAAGGGTACCCAGGCAGGAACCCGCAGGGGCAGAGACCAGGAGGTAGGGAAGCCCCGCCGCGCCCCGCCCCCTTTCGACTGTCAAGACCGGGTTTAAAGAATCTGGCCTCCGCAACTTCTCGGCTGACAGCAGGGAAGAGGGCACCCAGTGAGGCCCAGGCATTACCTGGGACGAGGCAGGGTCGCCCGCGCGGCACCCGCTCCAGGCCGCGGACCGAAAAGGCCCCGCTCGGGTCCCGCAGCCTGGCCTCGCCGCGGTCCGCCATCATCACCGTGCCCTGCATCCACACGACCGCCAGCGCCAGCGGCCCGCGGCCCGCCGCCGCCCGAGACAGGCGCCACGCGCCTGGGCCGCCCTCCGCATCTCGCCGCAGCTGCTCTGCCAGCACCTTGAGTGGCGGCGACCTAGGCAGCCGCACAGCCGTGGAGCCGCCTGAGAACGAGTCCGCAGCCGCAGCCATTCCTCCGTGCCGCTGCTTTCCCGCCAACTTTGAGAAGCAGCGCGGCCCGGCCGCAGCCACCAATCAGGAGCGCGCTAGCAGAACCGACCAATGGTCGACGTCAGAAGGCGGGACCGCCTGGCGGAGTAGCCCTTGCTATCAGCCAGGAGTGCGCATGCGTAGAAAAAGGTAAATAAATGTCGAAAGTCGTATATAATACCTAAAGAAATGTCCGCAAGTTACGAATGAATGAAAGAAATTGATTAAATTAAAATAATCAATTTTAATTTAATTTAATATAAATAAAATTTTTTTAATTTTATATTAAATATAATTTAATATTAAAAATTTTTTAAATAAATAAGGGTAGACAGAGAGGCAAAGAACCTCCTCTTTCTGACCAGGCCCGGTGGCTCCTGCCTGTAATCCCAACACTTTGGAAGGCTGAGGTGGGCGGATCACCAGAAGTCAGGAGTTCAAGACCAGCCTGATCAACATGGTGAAACCCCGTTTCTAACAAAAACAATAATAATAAAGAATGTGATTATTCATTTTCACATTGCCTTGTTTTGAGGTTAGTAAATACTGAAATGAATGAAGAGCCCGTGTTTATTGGGAGTGATCAAGAATCCAGTCAGGAGATAAGGCTGGGGAGGGAGATGGGAACAACTGGAAAACTCGCCCTTTCTTTTATTATTATTTTCATTTATATTTTAATAGCATCAAATAATTTTAAGGTTAACAAAATATATTGCTATTTTTCACAAAAGAAATGCACATTTATTGTAAAAAAAAATAGAAAAGGAAAAAATGTAGAATAAGAAAATAATTGTAAAAACTGCTTATAGATACCCACTGTTAATTTTGGGGTGTATTAGCCTCCAGGTTTTAAAGCGTAAGAGTGTGTGTGTGTGTGTGTGTGTGTGTGTGTGTATTTTTGAGACAGGGTCTCATTCTGTTGCCCAGGATGGCGTGCAGTGGCACAATAATGGCTCACTACAGCGTCCACCCCCTGGGCTTAGGTGATTCTGCCACCTCAGCCTCCTGAGTATCTGGGACTACAGGTGTGCACTGCCACGCCCAGCTAGTTTTTGTATTTCCGTAGAGACAAGGTTTTGCCATGTTGCCCAAGATGATCTTGAACTCCTGGGATCAAGCAATCCTCCCTCCTTGGCCTCTCAAAGTGCTGGGATTACAGGTGTAAGCCACCACACCTGGCTTATTACTGATATACAAAGATTGTTTTGTATATTGTTTTCACTTAATGAGCATCTTTCCATATCAGCAAATATCCATCTGCTTCCTCTTGAATGACTGCATAATACTCGATTTGTCTCATCACATATTAAACCAACATCCCATAGTTGGACATTAAGGCTATTTCCAATTTTTCGCTTTATAAATACAGCCGCTGTGGACCTACTTAAAAGCTAAATCTTCGTGCACATCTTTCAAATAAAATTCCCAGAAATTTATCCCTAAAAATTGGATGCTCCCAGTCAGCAAAGTCCACAAATCCTAAATCAGGCAATCAAAAAAGTCAACGTTAGTTCTTAAGAGAGACTTTGGGGGCAGGACACGATGGCTCACACCTGTCATCCTAGCACTTTGGGAGGCCGAGGTGGGCAGATAACCTGAGGTCGGAAGTTTGAGACCAGCCTGACCAACATAGAGAAAACCTTTCTCTACTAAATAAAATAAAATAAACAAATAAATAATATAAAATAAAAGGGAAAGAGAGAGACTTTGAATTCCCAGGGCCTCCTGCAGTACCAGGCATTCAGAGTGTTCAGCAAGAACTTGATTTTTTGTTGTTGTTGTTGAGACGGAGTCTCACTCTGTTGCCCAGGCTGGAATGCAGTGGCACAATCTCAGCTCACTGCAACCTCTGCCTTCCATGTTCAAGCGATTCTCCTGCCTCAGACTCCTGAGTAGGACTACAGGCACACGCCACTACACCCAGCTAATTCTTGTATTTTTTAGTAGAGACGGGGTTTCACCGTATTGGCCAGACTGGTCTCGAAATCCTGACCTCATGATCCACCCACCTCGGCCTCCCAAAGTGCTGAGATTACAGGTGTGAGCCACTGCACCCAACAAAGGGTTTGATTTTTATAAAATTGAGGCAGGCCCTGTTGTAAGAACTTTGTAGGAAGTGTCCCATGTACCCCACAGACCCTGAGAAAACTCTGTTCTACCCAGGTGAGGAAACTGAGACTTAAGAAAGCTAGGTGGCTTGACCATAAACTCTCAGTAGCCTCTATGAGGTTTTGGCCTCTACACCTAATATGGTTTGGCTGTGTTCCCACCCAAACCTCATTTTGAATTGTACTTCCCATAATTCACACAAATCGTGGGAAGGACCCTATGGGAGGTAATTGAATCATGGGGTCGAATACCCCCATGCTGTTCCTGTGATAGTAAGTGAGTTCTCACGAGATTTGATGTTTTTGTAGGGGGCTTTTCCCCTTTTGCTCAGCACTTCTCCTTCCTGCTGCCATGTAATGAAGGACATGTTTGCCTCCCCTTCTGCCATGATTCTAAGTTTCCTGAAGCCTCCCCAGCCCTGAAGAACTGTGAGTCAATTAAACCTCTTTTCTTGATAAATTACCCAGTCTTGGGAAGGTCTTTATAACAGCATGAAAACAGACTAACACAACACCTCAACCCTGACCTCAAACTAACCAGGCTACTGAGCTGAGAAGGGAGCAGGAACATTAACCAAGAGAGAATGCAACCAGTTCATGCCTGGTGGGTCCTCATTGACCTTCCCCCAAGGCACCTTAAGGCCAGAGAAGTGATGGGGAAGGGAGTGAGGGTGAAGGCAGAAGCTCCCAGGCTTCTTGTATGGGCCTGTTAATTCCCCATTATTCCCTTGGCCTCCAGATTCCCTGCGCCCGACAAGCCCAACATTGTGTTGCTGGCAGAGTGATCTTTTCAAAACACAAGTCTGAGCATATCAGCACTGGGTTTATAACACCTTGATGGTGTAATCCACACATCTGGAATGTGAGCATTCCCGGCAGAGGGAAATGCACATGGAGGGCCCAGACAGGGGAGAGGAAGCCAGAAGCATGTAGCAAACTGCCAGTAGTTAAGAATGACTGGGACTCAGAGTAGAAATGGAGGACTGGGGATAGATGAGTCTGGCCCTACACAACTTCATTTCTTTTCTTTTCTTTTTCTTTTTCTTTTTCTTTTTTTTTTTTTTGAGATGGAGTTTCGCTCTTGTTACCCAGGCTGGAGTGCAATGGCGCGATCTCGGCTCACCGCAACCTCCACCTCCTGGGTTCAGGCAATTCTCCTGCCTCCGCCTCCTGAGTAGCTGGGATTACAGGCACGCGCCACCATGCCCAGCTAATTTTTTGTATTTTTAGTAGAGACGGGGTTTCACCATGTTGACCAGGATGGTCTCGATCTTTTGACCTCGTGATCCACCCGCCTCAGCCTCCCAAAGTGCCGGGATTACAGGCTTGAGCCACTGCACCCGGCCCCACAACTTCATTTCTTATTCGCATTTTACAGATGATGAAGCTGAGGATCGGGCCAATGATAACGGCTACTGAGTGGTAGAGTTAGAACTTAAACCCGAATCCACCTGACCCCAAACTTCACGTATCTCGAACCACAGGCTCCATCTCACTGTTCACACTCTTTCCCACCTCGACCCATCAAAGGTGCTTCCAGATCTTTGCTTGTGCTGTTCTCTGACATGCCTTCCCCTCAATTGCTCTCAGTTGAAACCTGGCACAGTCATCAAGTAAAGAGGGACATGTTTGCTTGCCCTTCTGCCATGATTCTAAGTTTCCTGAGGCCTCCCCAGCCCTGGGGAACTGTGAGTCAATTAAACCTCTTTTCTTTATAAATTACCCAGTCTTGGGACGTTCTTTTTTTTTTTTTAATATAAAGACAGGATTTCACCATGTTGGTCAGGCTGGTCTGGAACTCCTGACCTCAGGTGATCTGCCCGTGTTGGCCTCCAAAGTGCTTGGATTACAGGCATGAGCCACCATGCCTGGCTGGGAAGTTCTTTATAACAGTGTGAATATAGACTAATACAACACATCAACCCTGACCTATAAAGTAACCCAGCTCCTGGGCTGAGAAGGGAGCAGAAACATCGTCAAGTGGCTGCTCACCAGCAAGACCTCTCCTATTCAGGGAGCCTTTCCTGAGCCCCACCACTGGAATTAACCTCTTCCTTCCAGACCAGTTTGCTGGTGCCCCTAATTCAGTTTCCCAACCTCAGTTCTACTGACATATGGGGCCGGATAATCTTTGTCATGGGGGCTGTGCTGTGCACTGTAGGACGCTGGGCAGTACCCCTGCTCTCCACCCACTAGACATCGTGGCACCCTCCTCAAGTTGCAACAACCAAAATATGTCTTCAGACATTGCCAGTGTCCCCTAGGGTGCTAAATCACCTCTATGGAGAACCACTGTCCTAAGCTACAATACTCACTGATAAATAGTTGAGTCTGGTGAGACCCCGTCTCTACTAAAAATACAAAAAATTAGCTGGGCATGGTGGCGCGTGCCTGTAATCCCAGCTACTCAGGAGGCTGAGGCAGGAGAATTGCCTGAACCCAGGAGGCGGAGGTTGCGGTGAGCCGAGATCGCGCCATTGCACTCCAGCCTGGGTAACAAGAGGGAAACTCTGTCTCAAAAAAAAAAAACAGTTGAGTCTGTGTCTGTCTTACCAGTAAAGTCTGGGGTCTCAAACTAAGTTGTCTGCAGGGACAAACTGGCCTTCTGATGTAGCGGCAAAGGGGACCATCACACTCAGCCAATGGTTGTCATGCACTGTTGCTAGATCTGATTTTTCAAGGCATTTTCTTTTTTTGTTTTTGTTTTAAACAGTCTTACTCTGTTGCCCAGGCTGGAGTGCAATGGCATAATCTCAGCTCACTGCAACTTCCGCTTCCCAGGTTTAAATAATTCTCCTGCCTCAGGCTTCCAAGCAGCTGGGACTACAGGCAACTGCCACCATGCCTGGGGAACTTGTCATATTTTTAGTAGAAAGGGGGTTTCCACCATGTTGGCCAGGCTGGTCTCGAACTCC